TTTTTTTTTTTTTTTTTTTTTTTTTGAGTTGGGGTCTCCCTCTGCTGCCCAGGCTGGAGTGCAGTGGCACATTCACGGCCACCGCAGCCTTGACCTGCTGGGCTCAGGTGATCCTTCTGCCTCTGCCTTCCAAACAGCTGGAACTAAAGGCACATGCCACCATGCCCGGCTACTTCTTTTGATTTATTGTAGAGACAAGGTCTCACCAAGTTGCCCAGGCTGGTCTCAAACCCCTGGACTCATGCAATCCTCTTGCCTCTGCCTCCCGAAGTGCTGAGGTTATAGGCATGAGCCACCACGTCCGACCTAGAATGTCTTAACAGCACATGTTGTTATAACTCCGCAGGTTTCTTCCACCCAGAACGCACCTTTCTTAGCTCCTCCATGCGCCCTGATGTTGTAAGCTCCATAGGGCAAGACGCCGTGCTGTCCTTCCGTCCTTGTGTCCACAGCATTTCTAGCACAGGGCCTGGAGCACAGTGAGGGGTGACAACTGTTGCTAAGGAAAGGAATGAGCCAATGAGGAGGGAACCACAGATCATCTAGTCTCTTCTCAGCTTGTCGCTATGGAGGCTCAAGCCCACAGCAGGAAGGGCTATACTGAGAGTCACACAGGGAGTGACTCTGGGAACCAGGACCAGCACCCAAGCCTTCTAACACCAAATTCCGAGGGTCTATGGATTGACCATCTTCAAAGAGCCTCCCAAGGCTGGGCGCAGTGGCTCTCACCTGTAATCCTAGCACTTCAGGAGGCCGAGACAGGAGGATCTCGAGTCCAGGAGTTCAAGACCAGCCTGGGCAACATAGTGAGACCCCGTCTCTATAAAAAATAATTCTAAAAATTAACTAGGCATGGAGGCGCATGCCTGTAGTCCCAGCTGCTTGGGAGGCTGAGGCCAGAGAATTGCCAGAACCCAAGAGGTCGAGGCTGTGGTGAGCCGTGATCACATCGCTGAACTCCAACCTGGACAACAGAGTGAGGCCCCAACTCAAAAATAATAAAAATAACCTCCCAAAGAGATACGGAGATTTGATCTTGTCATGATGTATGAACTAGGAATTGAACTGCTGACTTTCCTCTCTATCCTGGTTCTTGGGGGGTGTGGTCATTCATATGTCCTGGTCCTCTAGCAACTTCTTTCTGCTCACAGACCATGCTGAAGCTGATTCAGAAGAAACTGCTGGACAAAATAGTAAGTTGGGTCTTCTCGAGGCCACATTGCTCTTCTCTCCTCCCGAGAGGGGACCAGTTTGCCCCTGGGGGGTATCCCTGTTTTGTCTGGGGCCCCTCACCTGGTGCCAGGAGCCTTGGCTGAGCCCTGCCCTTCCGTGCAGTGTGACCAGGTGATGGAGTTTTCCTGGAGCGCCCTGTGGAACATCACCGACGAGACACCGGACAACTGTGAGATGTTCCTCAACTTCAACGGCATGAAGCTCTTCCTGGACTGCCTGAAGGTAGTATCTTCTCCTGCGACATGGCCACACTCTGTCCCCAGGCTTCCCCCTGGTTCCACGGAAGGGCAGTGGGACCCCCTTCAAGGCCCAGCAGTCAGAGCATGTGGCCAACAGAAGCTCCGCTATGGTGGGCCCCTCGAGAACCCTCCTTCGGAGGAAACCATACCCACCAAAAGCAGGCCCACCTCTGGTCACCAGGACAGGCTGTCCATCTTGAAATTCTATTCTCTTGTTCTAGATCCTAGGGAGTCCCCAAGCTACTATCTTGAGCTTTGGGAAATAGAACCATGTCTGCCAATAGGTCCCGTCTCTATTCAGCCTTTGTCTTTGTGGGAAGACACCCCCACCTTTTTTTTTCTGAAATTTGAGTCTCACTCTGTCACCCAGGCTAGAGTGCAGTGACACGCTCATGGATCACCACAGCCTCGACATCCTAGGCTCAGGTGATCCTTCTGCCTCAGCCTCCTGAGTAACTGGGGTTACACGCGCACACCACCATGCCTGGCTAATGCTTTGATTTTTTTTGTGGAGATGAGGTCTTGCTGTGTTGCCCAAGTTGGTCTCTGTCTTCTGGGCTCAAGCCATCCTCCAGCCTAGGCCTCTCAAAGTGTTGGAATTACAGGTGTGAGCCACGGCACTGGCCTCTTCCAACTTTTTAATCCCTTGTTGTGTGTGGCCAATGTCATCCCCAGTGCCGTTAGCATAGCCGAGCAGATGCCCATAATGATTTTGGGTTAACAGTTCCAGACACTGAGTAATTTGGTTTTTTTGAGTTGGAGTTTCACTCTGTCACCCAGATTGGAGTGCAGTGGCACGTTCCCAGCCACCACAGCTTCGACCTCCTGGGTCCGGCGATCCTTCAGAGCCTCAGCCTTCCAAGTAGCTGGAACTACAGGTGTGCGCTACCACGCCCGGCTAATTTTTGTTTTTTTTGTAGAGATGAGGTCTCGCCAAGTTGCCCAGGCGCGTCTCGAACCCATGGGCTCAGGCAATCCACTCACCTTAGCCTCCCAAAGCACGGGATTACAGCCTGAGCTACTGAGCCCGGCTCAGACACTGAGTAATTAAGCACTAATGGATGTGGCCTGATGGCTCTCACTTCCCCAGGAATTCCCAGAGAAGCAGGAACTGCATCGGAATATGCTGGGGCTCCTGGGGAACGTGGCAGAGGTGAAGGAGCTACGGCCTCAGCTCATGACTTCTCAGTTCATCAGCGTCTTCAGGTGGGTACTCTGCACCTTTCCCTTTTTGCCTTAGTTGCCAGGATGCTCAGAGCTCTCATCTGTGCTCAATTGCAGCAACTACTCTTGACCTAGGTTTCTGTTATAAATGTTGCTCTCCCTCTGTAATGTGGTTTCTTATCATCCAGTGGTCCCCTGACCTCAGATCCCTTTTAGAAGTAGTCTGGGCTGGACACTGTAGCTCACGCCTATAATCCCTGCCCTTTGGGAGGTGAGGGTGGGGAGATCGCTTGAGCCCAGGAGTTGGAGACCAGCCTGGGCAACATAGCAAGATCTTGTCTCTACAAAAAAAAAAAGTCAAAAAATTAGCCAGGTGTGTTGTCCCGTACCTGTAGTTCCAGCTACTTGGGAGGCTGAGGCAGAAGGATGGCCTTAGTTCATCAGGTCAAGGTTACATTGAGCTGTTATCATGCCACTGCATTCCAGCCTGGGCAATGGACTGAGACTCCAACTCAAAAAAAAAAAAAAAAGTAAGCCAAGCATGGTGGCTCATGCCTATAATCCCAGCACTTAGGGAGGCAGAGGCGAGAGGATTGCCTGACTCAGAGGTTTGAGACCAGTCTGAGCAACATGGCAAGACCACATCTCTACCATACATTTTTAAAAATTAGCCGGGTGTGGTGGCATGTGCCTGTGGTTCCAGCTACTTGGAAGGCTGAGGCAGAAGAATCGCCTGAGCCCTGCAGGTCAAGGCTGCGGTGGCCATGAGCGTGCCACTGCACTCCAGCCTGGACAACAGAGAACCTGACTCAAAAAAAAAAGTATTCTGAGTATAAACAATAAGTGACAAAGGAATAGAGTCCCTCTGGCACCGAGGTTGTACGCTGGGGACCAGCTGATGGTTCTTGAAGGCGGACCGGGACGTGGGCTCCATCTTGCCCCCTTCCTCCCGGCAGCAACCTGCTGGAGAGCAAGGCGGATGGAATCGAGGTCTCCTACAATGCCTGTGGCGTCCTCTCTCACATCATGTTCGACGGGCCCGAGGCTTGGGGCGTCTGCGAGCCCCAGCGCGGGGAGGTGGAGGAGCGCATGTGGGCGGCCATCCAGAGCTGGGACATCAACTCTCGGAGGAACATCAATTACAGGTGCGGGGAGGGCCAGCGGGAAGGGGTGAGTGGGGCTGTGCGGGCAGGACGCTGTCCCAGGGGCAGTCAGCGTCGCTGCCTTCCCTCCACTCCGCTATGGGGTTTGTTCTTCCTCTTTGAGGCACAGTCACGTCCAACATAACGGGCACAGATCTCACCTGGGCACACACCCCCCCCCCAGGTACCCTAGCCTGCTCCTGACAGTCAATACATGTTTATTTGGGGGGAAGGAGAAAACACCCACACGTGATAGGTGACAACAGGAACCATGCATCATCTCGCTCCCCAAGAGGGAGCCCCTGCTGGCATTCTGGGGTCTCTCCTTCTGGCAGTGTTCCTGGGCACAGAGTTCATGACTTGAAGTTAGGCCGGCATTGGTTCCTCCTCTATGGTGACTGAATGGCTGGTCTTCAGGCCTGGGTCTCCCTCATCATTTTAGGAGGAGCCAGTTTCTGTGTGCTGTCCTGTACTGATGGACATTTCAGTTAAAAGCCTGCACTGGTTGGGAGGTTGAGGTGAGAGGATTGCCTGAATCCAGAAGTTCAAGATCAGCCTGGGTAACTTGGTGAGACCTCATCTCTACAATAAATCAAAAAATTAGCCGGGCATGGTGGCACGTGCCTGTGGTTCTAGCTTGAGGACAGGAGTTCAAGACCAGTCCAGGCAACACAGAGAGATCTCATTGCTGCAAAAAAAAAGAAAAGAAAAGAAATTAGCCGGGTGTGGTGGTGTGTACTATAGTCCTAGCTACTTGGGAGGCTGAGGCAAGAGGATTGCCTAAGCCCGGGAGGTTGAGGCTGCAGTGAGCTGTGATCGTGCCACTGCACTCCAGTCTGGGCAACAGAGTAAGACCCTGACTCAAAAGAAAACAGAAAAAAGCCTGCATTGGAAGGAAGGAATTCATGCTTATAGCTTTGCCAGGGAGAGGGAGGTGCAGCCGCTGGCCCAGAGGTTTTGCACATACATGGTTTGGGCTTTCTTTGACTCCAGCCCAGGCCCTTGGGGAAGAACAGTCCCACTTGCTTCTGTTCCCAGTGTGCCCCTCCTACCCCCATGAGTCTCTTTCCTGGCTGAGACTCCTAGCCTTCTGCCCCGCCTAACTGGGTCCCTCCTGCCTTAGACATGTGCTCATGTGCGTATTCTCCCTCCCAGAAGGCTCCAAGTGGACCCTGCCAGTGAGATGAAAGACCAGTGCCTCCTCTCCCTGGCATCCTGCTGGCTTGTCATGCTTGGTCCTGAGAATCCTTTAGGGAGGAGAAACCTCCGATGAGAAGAGACACACTCCCCTGACCCCCAGCATCAGAAGTGACCTCGACTTCTCTTCCTGCAGGTCGTTTGAGCCAATTCTCCGCCTCCTACCCCAGGGCATCTCTCCTGTCAGCCAGCACTGGGCAACCTGGGCCCTGTACAACCTTGTGTCTGTCTACCGTGAGTGTCCTTCCCTTGGTCCAGATCCACGCAGATGTGCCCTCGGAGGGTTTACAACCAGGGGGAGGGAGCAATCCAAGAGTTGCTGTCAGCTCCTGTGCCTCAGAGCAAAGCCCTCTGCTTTCTAGCATTTGTAGGACACACAGCCCAAAGGCCGACTCTTGTCTTGTCACAGAAGCAGGTCTGGCAGGCAAGATACACACACGCACAATCCCTAGACAGCTTTCTTCATGTTTCCTGCTTCCAAATGAGGGAACAGCCTAAACTCCCCATGCCAGCTGGGCATAGTGACACACACCCACTACTTGGGAGGCTGAGGCAGGAGGATCACTTGAGGCCAAGAGTTGGAGGCTGCAATGAGCTATGTTTGCACCTGTGAATAACCACTGCACTCCAGCCTGGACAACATAGCGAGACCCTATCTCTAAAAGTAAAATAAAATAATGAAAATTCTTGTGCCTTCTGCATGACAGAATACTACCAGCTGGTTTCAACCTGGCTGGTCACCAGAATCACCTGGTGGTGTTTTTGTAAAAGTACAGGCCAGGCACAGTGGCTCATACCTGTAATCCCAGCACTTTGGGAGGCCAAGGCAAGAGGATTGCTTGACCCCAGGAGTTTGAGATCAGCCTGGGCAAGATCTTATCTCTACAAAAATAAAAAAAATTAACTGAGTATGGTGGTATGCGCCTGTAGTCCCAGCTACTTGGGGGGCTGAGGTAGAAGGATCGCCTGAGCCCAGGAGATCAAGACTTCGGTGAGCTGTAATCATGCCACTGCATACTAGCCTGGGTGACAGGTGAGAACCTGACTCAAAAAAAAAAAAAAAAAAAAAAAAAAAAGCCAGGCGTGGTAGCTCAAGCCTGTAATCCCAGCACTTTGGGAGGTGGAGGCGAGAGGATTGCTTGAGCCCAGGGTTCAAGACCAGCCTGGGCAACTTGATGAGACTTTGTCTCTACAATAAGTCAAAAAATTACCTGGGCGTAGTGATGCATTTCTGTAGTTTCAGCTACTTGGAAGGCTGAGATGGAAGGATCACCTGAGCCCAGTAGGATGAGGCTGCAGAGTCCGTGAGCATGTCACCATACTCCAGTCTGGGTGACAAAGTGAGACTCTGACTCAAAAACAAAAACAAAAAAAACAATAACTTTGAATCAAAGTAGGGAAGAGCCTTTTCCAGGAACTCCCACCTGCCTCCTCAGGTGAACACAGCAACTCACACCTGTGAGGCTGGGCAGGCGTGACTGGTCCCACTCCTAGCGCTGCCCTCCCACCTGGACTGCATCTTTATCCCCCACCCTGGGTAGTCCTCAGAGCAAGAGTGGGTTTCTAGGCTACAGGCTGATAGGCGGCCTCTCCCCATCATCTGCTGTCTGCTCCCAACCCACAGCGGACAAGTACTGCCCCCTGCTGATCAAAGAAGGCGGGATGCCTCTTCTGAGGGACATGATCAAGATGGCGACCGCGCGGCAGGAGACCAAGGAAATGGCCCGGTAAGAGACATGCGACGAGTTTCTGCTTGGAGCCTTGATGCAGGGGAGTGAGGGCACAATGGCAGCCCGCTGGTGGCTAAGAATGACTGGAATTCTTGGGGCAGCTCGGGGTTGAGTGTGGGGGTAGACAGTATACCGACGTCCAGCTGGCGCCTCTAAGTGTCATCTCAGTCACAGTGTGGCTGGAAACTAGATAGCTGAGCTGTGAATGAAGGCACTGTTGCCCTCATCTGTAAGTTTAGTTTTATTTTATTACCAACGAATTCCATCCTCTCATCATCAGGCATTGGCAAATCAGGTCAGAGCTTCCCATTATTTTTGGTCAAAAACATTCCACCTGAAAAGGGGCTACAGTGTGGTAAAATGCATCCTAGAGGTAAGATGGGGCAGAGTGCAAGTGAGTTTCTGAATGCGAAGGTCATGAACATGGCCAGGTCTGGCCTTCTGTTGCTGTTGGGTTTCACTGCAGTGTCTAAAACATCACCGCTCCAGTTTACAAGTTGATCGGGAACCGGGACTCTCAGAGATTACACATTTCAGAGTCAGCGGGAATGACCTTGCCTTCTCTGATCCATTCTAGAAGGGAGCATAGTCAAGCTGACCCCAGTATAGTTCTGTCATGGTTCTGAACTTGGTATCCAGCAAAAGGCCACATGGAGGAGAGGCCTGGAGCCCAGAGGCTCCCAGACAGCAACTCACTGCACCAGGGATGGGAGGCCAATAGCTCGTTCTGCCATTATCAAAAGGCACTGCTTAAACACTGATCAAAAGAGCTTTGTTTTTTGTTTGTTTTTCGAAACAGGCTCTCACTCTGTCACCCAGGCTGGAGTGCCGTGGTAGGATCATAGCTTACTGCAGTCTTGACCTCCTAGGCTCAAATGATCCTCCTATCTCAGCCTCCCCAGTAGCTGGGATTACAGGCGCACACTACCTGCATGGCTAATTTCTTTTTCTTTTTTTTTTTTTTGAGTTGGAGTCTTACTCTGTCGCCCAGACTAGAGTGCAGTGGCCGCTCCCAGTCACTGCAGCCTCGACCTGCTGGGCTCCAGCGATCCTTCTGCCTCAGCCTTCCAAGTAGTCGGAATTATAGGTGTGCGCTACCATGCCCAGCTTATTTTTTGATTTTATTGTAGAGATAAAATCCAGGAGTTCAAGACTAGCCTGGGCAAAATAGTGAGACCTTATCTCTACCAAAAAAAAAAAAAAAAAAGAAAATTGGCTGGGTATGGTGTCAAGTACCTGTAGTCCCAGCTACTTGAGAGGCCAAGGTGGGAGGATCACCTGAGCCCAGTAGGTTGAGGCTGCAGTGAGCTGTGATCACACTATTGCGTTCCAGCCGGATGACAGAGTGAAAAAAGAAAGGATGAGGTGGTCAGGCCTGAGCTGATTCAGGAACCTCCTAGCCCCAGATGCCCTGGGACTGGGGGCAGGGAAAGAGGGGCATGGGAAGGAAGGCGGGCAGGATGGTGGTGACGACACTCAAGGCCACAGGTGCCATCCCCTGGGTTTCCGCATGTGCCAGCCACTCTGCCAGCCCCTTTCTCCACATCACTCAGTGTCACCGTCCCTGTTCACATGGGTGAGCCCACTGCTTGGTCACCCAGGAGGGGCAGGCTCACCCACACAAGTCGCCCTCCAAGCCTGTCCCCTTTTCCCCAGCAAGGTGATCGAGCACTGCAGTAACTTTAAAGAGGAGAACATGGACACGTCCAGATAGAGGCTCCGCCCCCCGCCACGCTCTGGACCACAGGCCGGAGGACACTCCAGCGGCCCCACGGGACGGAGAGACACGGGGACTTTTGCACAACCGACGCTTTCCTTGACATTAGTGAGATATATATATATTATATATATATATTATTTTTGGGTTAGGAAGTGTGAAGTTTTGTGTGTATGATTTCTGTACAATAACTCAAGAAGCACTCCCCGAATCCTCGCCGCCGTCCCGGCCATTCTGAAACCCCACTCGAAGCCTTCATCGCTGCCACACTCACTCCTGCCCTGCCCAGACTCAATGCCTATAACGTCGTGAGTGTCCAGTCCCTTTCCAGTAACTCAGACCCCAGTCTGGTGTCCTGTTCTGAGAGGACCAAGCCTTGATCAGCCTGCTCCAGCATCCCAGTCCACTGCCCAAGCCTGAGGATCCCGTCTTGGCTCCTGGCGCGGCTGGTGAGGCTTGGGGATTAGAACTCACCCCGCTGGGTCTCCCAAATGCCTTGGTGCTCCCGGCTGTGGCCATCTGGGGCAAGAGCCAGCCCCTGCTAGGCTTAGGGTCCGGCAGCCCCAGAGGCCCCTCGGAGCGGGGCGCCCAGTGGCCCTGCTGCTCGCCGGCCGGGCCTGCCTGAGGCCACGCTGCTATGGAGGCTGCCTCCTAGTCTCCCTCCAGGTCCCCAGGCCGTGGAAGGCCCAGCCCAGGTGGTCAGGTCGGGGGCAGATACCACTGCCCCTCTGCCAAACACGTTGCAAACCTGCCCCAGCGCTGGGAGCCAGCACCTTCTGGGGCCAGGGGCACACGCCACGCTCCACAGCCCTCATCCACCTGCCGGCTCCCAAGGGCGCTCCCACCAGCAGAACTGAGCCTGCCTCATTCGCCTGGCCTGCCCGCTGCCCCGGCGACCCACGCCTCTCCCAGAGGCAGGAGGTCCCCACTCCAGCCTTCTACTCAGTGGCCACACAGCCACTGCCAGACCAGCACTTGGACATCCCGCCAAGGCCGTGCGGGGGCCCTCCCAGCCCTCCTGCCCCGCCCTGGGCTCTCCCCGGAAACCTCTGTGCTGTGTTTCAGAGAAGCATGAGGCCGCTGTCTCGGCATACCTTGTGCCATCCCTCAGTGTGACTGAACCGCGTCTCATGGACACACCTGCAGGACAAGTGGGCCTGGGCCAGCACTGACCCTGGAGGCTGCCTTGGGTGCCGGCTTTTCTTGGCTTTTCCTTCCCGGGCCTGTCTGTGGAGGCTCCCAGCATTTCTGCCTCCAGGCGGAATAGGCCAGGTGAGCAGCTTGTGAGGGAGGACCTGGCCTTGTTCTCTGAGCCTCACTCTCCTGGCCGGGGAAGGGGACGGCAGCCCTGTGTTCCCCAGCTTGGCAGAGGGGCCGCATCCACCCTCCCTTCCATCCCATGCCCAGCGACCCAGCAAACCCTGGGCAGAGCTCACATCGCATCGCTTTACCACCTAGGGCCTGGGGTCATGTCTGTACTTTGGGATGTCACAGAAATACATTTTTGTGCAAAGTGGAGAACAGAGCGTCTTTCTTGTGGAGGGGATGGGGGTCATTAGCTGGGCTTCTAGGCTCAGGAGTGGGGCCTGGACCACCCCAGGCAGGGGGCCTGGGGTGTGGGTCGTCCTGTGTCTGGTGGGTTCATGTGTCCAGCCCGCAGGGCCAGTCAACTGCACGCTGGGGCCAGGGCAGATTGGGCTGCAGTGCCCGTTTCCTCCGCGTTCTCTTCACACCCCTGTGCCCAGACACGGAGGACACAGCTGGCAGCCTGGCCAACAGGGCCCCTGCCCGGGGCAGCACTGTCTGATGGGGAAGATGGAGGGTGAATGTGAGATCACGACCCTGCATGACCAGCAGGGAGAAGGCGCCTCCTGAGAGCTACTAGGATGGGAGGACAGGGTGGGAAGACTGGAGTACCAGGCATCAGGGCTTCGGGAAGTGAGAGACAGCCCCGGGAGGCTTGTCACAGGCTTGTCACAGGGCGGAGGCAGCTGAGCAAAATCCAGGGACAATATGGAGGCTGCCAGGCCTGGCCCAACAAGGGTGGAGCTGGAGCAGGAGGGGACAGAGAAACAGCTGCAGCCAAATCGTGGTGACCAAGCTCCGGCTCGGCGCTGGACAGCCCTGGTTTGCAGTTGTGGTCCTGGCATAGTCATCGCCGGTGTCCTCACTCTCCGACATTCCTGAGGACCACGGGGAGGGGGTGGGTCTGATGCTCTATGTGAGGGGAAGTGACTGAAGACTTGAAGCCGGAGCATCAGGACCTGATCGAACATCCTGCAATCGGGCATTCGGGGTCATCCGGCCCGCCTCTGGTGCCAAGGACCCTCTTCGTCCCCTGAGCAGGGCTTGGACCGGGCCTGTCCCTCCCGTGGGTAAGCGCCCCCTGCCACTGGCCACTCATAGGGTCTGGACAGAAAGGGCATCAGGAACAGTGGTCTGCCTTGGAATCCTGGTGAGTCGTCCATGGCCAGGAGGAGCAAGGGCAGTGCCTGACAGGTGGCCTCCAATGCCAGTGGACATTGCTGAGTACTTCATCTGCATGCCAGGCCCTGGGACATGTGCTTTGTGTACATTCTGTTTCCTCATGGTCATCACAGCAACCCATTTTGCAGACGAGGACACTGAGGCTCAGAAAGGTGAAATGACTTCTTGCACCAAGGTTGTCACAGAAAAGGAGGAAAAATGAGAGCTCCCCAGATGTGCCCAGTGCTCCTCCTCTGGCCCCCCAGCCCTGACACTTTCCACTTCCTGTGCCAGGAGCACACTAGTCCAGGCCCCCACTTCTCCCATGGGACTGAAACTGTTCTGTGCGCCTCCCTCATTGGACAGGGAGTGGCAAGCCAAGTCGAGGCTCTGCTGTGCCCAGCACACAGCACAGAATCTGGCATATTGAAGACTCTCATTAAAAACTGGTGGAAGGGCCGAGCACAGTGGCTCACGCCTATAGTCCCTGCACTTTGGGAGGCTGAGGCATTGCCTGAGCTCACAGTCTTGAGACCAACCTGGGCAACTTGGCAAGACCTCATCTCTTCATCTGTGGTAGCAGGCGCCTATAGTTCCAGCTACTTGGAAGGCTGAGGTGGAAGGATCGCCGGAGCCCAGCGGGTGGAGCTGCGGTGGCTGTGAGCCTGCCACTGCCCTCCAGTCTGGGTGACAGAGTGAGACTCCGACTCAAAAAGAAAAAAAAGTAAGTTAAAATCTCACTGAAGGCCATTGCTTTGTTAAACTCTGGTTTGAGCCGGGCTCGGTGGCTCAGGCTGTAATCCCGCGCCTTTGGGAAGCTGAGGTGAGTGGATTGCCTGAGCCCGCGGGTTTGAGACCCACCTGAGCAAGTTGGCGAGACCTCATCTCTACAATAAATCAAAAATTAGCCGGGCGTGGTAGTACGCACCTGTAGTTCCAGATAATTGGAAGGCTGAGGCGGAAGGATCGCCAGAGCCCAGAGGCAAGGCTGCGGTGGCCGGGAGTAGCCACTGCATTCCAGTCTGAGCAATAGAGTGAGACTCCAACTCAAAAAAAAAAAAAATTAAACTCTGGTTTGTCCATGCTTTGGCCCCCTCCCCTACCTTGGGGAGGTGAATCTCTTCTCTCTCTCTAATTTTTACTTTTAAAATAAACTTGCTAGCCGGGCTCGGTGGCTCAACCTGTAATCCCGCGCTTTGGGAGGCTGAGGCGAGTGGATTGCCTGAGCCGGCGGGTTAAGATCCACCTGGGCAACTTGGCGAGACCTCATCTCTACAATAAATGAAAAAATTAGCTGGGTGTGGTAGCACGCGCCTGTAGTTCCGGCTACTTGGAAGGCTGAGGCGGAAGGATCGCCGGGGCCCAGTAGGTCGAGGCTGTGGTGGCCGGGAGCGGCCACTGCACTCCAGTCTGGGCGACAGAGTGAGACTCCAACTCAAAATAAAATAAAATAAAATAAAATATTTTTTTGATCTTAAAAAAAAAAACTCGCTGAGTCTAGGCAACATAGCAAGACCTTGCCTCAACAACAACAACAAAAAAAAATCCAAAAAATTATCTGGTCATGGTGGTGCACGCCTATAGTCCTCACTATTCAGGAAGCTAAGCTGGGAGAATCGGCTGAGCCCAGGAGGTCAAGGCTGCAGTGAGCCATGATCGTGCTACTGCACTCCAGCCTCGGGTAACACGTGAGACGCCAAAAAAAAAAAACAACTTAGTCACTCAATGCCATGCTATCCATTGTGGGATAGACTTGCACAACCCCCACCCGGAGTGACCCCAACTTCCTGCCTGTCCTGTTGTCCCCCAACTGTCACTGACTTATTCTGTGTCTACGTTCCAGGAAGATGTGAGCCCACTGAAGGCAGGGGTCAGTCTAGGCCCGGGGTCAGTTAGGGTGCCCAAGTGCAGGCAACCTAGATGGCAGGGTGTGGCGGGCTCCTGAGCCAGAGGACAACTGACCTACCAGGCCTCAGGAGGAACACACACCAGGGTGGCTTGGGGCTCTGGGTCACTGGAGCCCCCAGCTGGCTTCTGCGGGCAACACCATCAGGGTAATGATGAACCCTTCCTTTCTCCTTCCTGTGCCCCTGTGCTCAAGATTCAGAATCCTGGGCCAGGGTCAGTGGCTCAGCCTGTCATCCCAGCACTTTGGGAGGCCGAGGTGAGTGGATTGCCTGAGCCCACGGGTTCAAGACCAGCCCGGACAACTTGGTGAGACCGTGTCTCTACAATAAATAAAAAATTAGCTTGGGCGTGGTAGTATGCACCTGTAGTTTCGGCAACTTGGAAGGCTGAGGCGGAAGGATCGCCGGAGCCCAGCAGGTCGACACTGAGGTGGCTGTGAGCATGCCCCTGCACTCTGGCCTGGGTGACGGAGTGAGACTCCAAATCAAAAAAAAAAAAAGATTCAGAATCCTGCATCCAAGAGAAATTGATGAGTTTGGAGTGGGGAGTCCGAGCACTCTTGATGGTACTGCCAAAACTACACACGTGGAGGAGAGGGCTATTCCCCCAAGAACAGTCTAGGTGCTGGTACTAGATAGAGCAAGGGAGAACAACGCCAGGTGGGTGTGTGCTCAGTGTTGAGCACAAAGAGTCTCCTCTCGGCTGGGCACAGTGGCTCACATTTGCCATCCCAGCACTTTGGTGAGAGAATTGCTGGAGCCCAGGAGTTTGAGACCAGCCTAGGCAACATAGTGAGACCTCATCTCTGCAAAAAAAGTTAAAAAATTAGAGGCTGGGCATGGTGGCTCAAGCCTGTAATCCCAGCACTTTGGGAGGCCGAGGTGAGGAGACTGCCTGAGCCCACAGGTTCGAGACCAGCCCAGGCAACTTGGCAAGACCTCATCTCTACAAGAAATCAAAACATGGTGGCACGTGCCTGTGGTTCCAGCCACTTGGAAGGCTGAGGCAGAAGGATGGTATAAGCCCAGCAGGTCAAGGCTGCGGTAGCCATGAGCATGCCACTGCACTCCACCTTAGACGGCAGAGTAAGACTCCAACTGAAAAAAAAAAAAAAACAATTAGCCAGGCATGCTGGTGTGCACCTGTAGTCCCAACTACTCAGGAGGCTGAGGTAGGAGAAGGATCGCTAGAGCCCAGAAGGTCAAGGCTACAGTGTGCTATCGCGCTCCACCCTGCATGAAGGATGAGACCCTGTCTCGAATTTAATTAATTAATTAATTAATAATAGATTCACCCTTGACCAAACTCTAGCCAAGCTCCTCTGAGCCTTCGTTTTTTTTTTTTGAGTTGAAGTCTCACTCTGTCACTCAGACTGGAGTGCAGTGGCCACTCCTGGCCACCGCAGCCTCGATCTGCTGGGCTCCTTCTGCCTCAGCCTTCCAAGTAGCTGGCACTACAGGCGCGCGCTACCACGCCCGGCTAATTTTTGATTTATTGTAGAGATGAGGTCTCGTCAAGTTGCCCAGGCGGGTCTCGAACCCGCGGGCTCAGGCAATCCACTCACCTTGGCCTCCGAAAGTGCTGGGATTACAGACTGAGCCACTGAGCCCAGCCACCTTCTTCTTAATTAGGCCTCAACCTTGGCCTGTACAACTAGACTCTTAGCACAAATTATTTCATCTACCTCTCCCTCCCACATTAAATGACTTAAACACTAATGTAGTTTCTAACAGGTTAAGGCCATATCCCAAGGAAACCCCCACCCCTAAAGTGCCTGCCTTGATAAAGTTCAAAGACTGCCGAAATAATTTTCTGTTTGTTCCAGCCAACACCTGACAGGTTCCCCTTTTTTTTCTTTTTTTTTTCAGTTGCAGTCTCACTCTGCAGGCTGGAGTGTAGTGGCACATGATCATGAGCTCAGGTGACCCTTCTGCCACAGCCTCCCAAGTCTCTGGGACTACAGGTGCACACCACCATGCCCAGTTAATTTTTCTTTTTTTTGTAGAGACGATATCTCGCTATGTTGCCCAGGCTGGTCTCGAACTCCTGAACTCAAGCAATCCTCCCGCCTTGGCCTCCCAAAGTGCTGGGATGACAGGTGTGAGCCACTGCACCCTGCCTATGACCACTCTTGATTAGAGCATTTACTAAAAAGAGTTTACAACTGTGAATCCTTCCTCTGTCCTTCTGAGATATCTGTATGTCTCCTACAACTGAAGAGTGTCTTTCTCGAGAACCTGAAAGCCATCCCTTTGAAATGGAATCATCAGGAAGGACAGGGCCTTTGTCTCCCAGACCCTGTGGAAGGATAGCATCCTAACCACAACTGCCAGCCAGCAGACAAAGTGGGTCTAATCAGCATTTTCACTTGCCAGCCCTTTGGGGTTTTTCATTTCCCTGACTCTGCTCAAGCCCCCACCATTCCCCCTCCCTGCTCCCCCATGTTCCCATTAGGCCAGGCTGGAAGCTAGCACCTGTTGTTTCAGCTACTCAGGAGCCTGAGGCAGGAGGATCACTTGAGCCCAAGAGTTTGAGGCCAGCCTGGGCGACAAAGCAAGATCCCATCTCAAAAAACAAAGAGACAAAAAAAATCAGTCATCTCTGAACAAACAGAAATTGAGTCGGCCCTCTTCCCTGCTGCAATGAGATGTTACTGAGTAAAATCTACCCTTACCACTTACACTAGTGTCTGACTTAATTTACTTTTGACATCAGCACGGTACCTGAGCCATGGAAGCTTCAGGATCATTTGCTGAGTGGATCATGTGCTAGCTGTCCCCACTCGGCATGTTAAGTCATGCACCACTGCAATAATCAAGACTGAGTACAGGCCAGGCCTAGTGGCTCAGCCTGTCATCCCAGCACTTTGGGAGGCCAAGGCGAGTGGATTGCCTGAGCCCGTGGGTTCGACACCAGTCCGGGCAACTTGGCGAAACCTTGTCCCTATAATAAATCAAAAATTAGCCGAGAGTGGTAGCATGTGCCTGTAGTTCCAGCTACTTGAAAGGCTGAGGCGGAAGGATTGCCAGAGCCCGACAGGTCAAGGCTGCAGTGGCTGGGAGCGTCCACTGCACTCCAGTCTGGGCAACAGAGTGAGACTCCAATTAAAAAAAAAAAAAAAAAAGAATTCATTGACTAATGCAACTGGGGAACCTAGAGTTAGTATCAACTTCAGGCATTGCTGAATCTAGAGGGCCAAGACAATGTTGCTCAGGCCATCTCTTGCTCTCTTTTCAGTGCTGCTTATCTCTCTCTATAATCTGGTTTCACTGGGCATGATGGCTCCTGCCTGCAATCCCAGCACTCTGGGAGACTGAGGAGGCTCACTTGAGCCCAGGAGTTTGACACCAGCCTGGGCAATATAGTAAGAACCCAGCTCTTACAGGCAATTAGCACTTGTGAAGAAGAAAAAAAAAGACCTTGTCTCCAAAACATAAAATTAGCCAGGTGTGATGGCGTGCACCTATAGTACCAGCTTGGGAGGCTGAGGAGGAAAGCAATGCCTGATCCCAGGAGGTCGAGACTGTAGTGAGCCATGATGGTGCCACTGCACTCCAGCCTGAGCAGCACAGTGAGACCCTGACTCAAACAAAACAAAACAAAAAGCAGATCTCATTCTCTCCTGCCTCAGACAGGCTCTCTCCGCCTGTGTAAAGATGGCTCCTGGTTACTTTACCTCCTATTTTTTATGCTTGGATCCAGAAGAATGCCCCTTCCCCTCTGATCATCTGTACAGGAATCTCAAGGAAGGCCTGTGATTGGCCCTGCTGAGGCACACGCCCACACCCTGCCTCCCACCATCCAGTCTCCCCAGGACCAACGGGATGGGAGGAGTCAGCTGCCACCGAAAAGGGGATGTGGAACTGACAAGACCACAGAAGTCAGAGGAGAAGGCTGCAGGAGCTGGGACGAGGCCAACCAGATAGAGGAAGGGGAGGATGCTGGGAGCAGTGGGAGGTGCCTTGGAAAGGTAGGGCTGAAAGGGGAAGGTCCTGGCGACACACGGAAGAACAGCCTGGGGCCTCGGGCTGGGAAAGTCAGCCTGGCAGGCTGTAGATGGTGGCTTTGGCGACG